AATCCATTTTATCCCTCGGATTAAATTTATCCCGAACATCATAAATTGGCCGTATGTGATGAATGTACGAAATTATTCTGGGCGAGTGACGTGAACCGCTCTTTTTTTTCATTTTGTTGTTCTTTCTTTTTGCTTAATAATGATAACCAAATGAGAATCACCGACAAATAGCTAATAATAACTTTGATGGCCTGCAAAAAAGCGTTTAAAACGGTAAACACTGTGCGTAAACCAGTGGTCCAGCCGATTCATCGGGCATTTGGCACGTGTATCATGTATCGTAGTAGTAATCTCTTCTGCTGCATCCTATTGCAAGAGCCAACATTCATATAAAAAAAATCGATTTCAGGTACTTGCAATGGAAATGTACGGAGAATCGAGTTTTTCAAAAATGCCGACCATTAGTGCTTGGTCCCCAGTGAATATTTCTTGGAACTGAAAAGTGCGTTTGCCAGCATTAATCCAACACTAATTTTATAGCTCAGTCACAGTACAAAAAAGTTTCATTTTTGGTAACTCCCCTGTAGACTGCTCCAAAAAAAAAAAATTGAGATATTCAAGCAAAATTGGCCTCAAAAAAATAGGTTTGGCATCAAAAAATCGAAAAACGTAGAAATGAAACCACTTTCTCAAAATTCATGAAATTTTTGAGTAAGGTAGTTTCGGAAGCCATTTTAGATCGCAACATTTCGACCTAAATCATTTTTCCAGCCAACTTTCGGCCAAAACTGTTGATGGGGTTTTATTTGGCTCGTCAATATCTATAACTTTTACCAAGACATCAGCCATTGAAAAGGCATTCTGGGCCAGTTACAGTGTAAAATGACCGAAAAAATGGCAAATTTTCGGCATTTCTTGCATTTTTTGCTCTACTGGTCACCCAGGTGGTGAACTTTTGTTCAGTTTTCGACTTGTATCGTGTAGCCAAAACCTGTACAAAAATTTTGGTACTTGTCAAATTGCGATTTGGATGGTCTGGTCTTGGTGCAATGTTATTTTTTCTCGAAAATATGGGGAGTCTACCCAGACAAAAACTCTCAAAATTGACTTTTTAAGGTACCTCCCGAACAAAAGTTACGTTTTTCATGGATTTTACTATGAAAATATCAATTTTTGTTCGGAAGGTACTTCAAAAATACACTTTTTGGATGATTTTCTTAGTAAAAAGTTATTTTTTTCGAAAAATATTGGGAATCTAATCACACAGAATTTCTTATGAATGATTTTTGGGGTACCTTCCGAACAAAAATTGGTATTTTCATAGTAAGAGAGAGTGAGAGAGAGAGAGAGAGAGAGAGAGAGAGAGAGAGAGAGAGAGAGAG